TCTAAAGTGTGATGATATTCGATTTTAATAAAAAATCTTCAAACAAAAAAGGAGCAATTAGCAAAGATGGTTACATTTAGGCATATTCTTTGCGTGATGAATGTCTATAACATTTAAGACATTTACTCTTAAAATAATACTCTGATATATATAAGACTCTTGAAGAAATCAACAAGGGCCATTTTTCGAATCATCATGTTACTACAGTTATCAAAAGTTGATAAAATATATCTTATAAAGACAGTGTTATTTGAAAATTGTACAAGACAACAAGAGACATACTTCACTAAAATTATAATATTGAAAACATTGACATACAAGACATGGATCGCTTGATACAAGAATTGAAATAAGGAGTAGTTGTACTCTTTTTTCTTCGATCAAGTTTTATCTCACTGGATTTTCTTGACAAGATTTTAATGAGGTGGTCTTTTATTACTATAGATTATTTGTACTCTTTTTATTTGTTAACATTTTTGTTGTATCGAATTTTTTGCCAAACAATGCTTCAATGAGATAGTTATTGTGCAAGTAATCATTATAGGAGGAGTGTTGTAAAATAATGAGATAATTATTAATGATTATGAAGTTATATCATTATATATAGATCTCTTTGTTCTTCTTTTCACTCTAGTTTATAACATCTTATTTTTCATGATAAAATTATGCATTTATCACAATAAAGTAGAGTGATAACAAAATTCTATCCCCAATAATGAATATATATGTAGAGTTGCTTATTCTCCAAAATATTTTTCTCTCTTCAAAAAAGGAATGAAAATTAAATGTATTATCAGAAGTGTTCTTAGTTCCCTTGTGGAGAATCAATTGGTGTTATCCAATTCATGTCCCTTTACTTGTGCTGAAGATTCTTCTCCAGATTAATTCAGAGAAGCCAGTTTAAAAGAGTGAGATAAAGGGTAAAATCATTTGCTAGAGAAGGATGTGATATGATTTGGAGTGATATTCGAAAGTTACTATGTACTCAAATATATATATATATATATATATATATATATATATATATATATATATTTTGATAGTTTGGAAAAACTTTTGTGTCTAACTTCTATTAAAAACGTAAGAATGGGATGGCACTGTAGACACAACAGTAAATCAATCCCATTTTACTGTTCACGCTCTTTTCCCTCTTTTATTTATTTATTTTTTTTATTGTGAATAAAAAAAATATTTGCTTTGACCATGCCAACAACCATGCTAACCGTACTCCATCACCATATTCCTTATTTTCCTTTTTATTCTTTTTATTGATATTTTCATTCCTACTTTTTCGTGAAATCTCTTCTTGCTGGATCACATATTCTCACTTCATCTGTGATTCTCTTTTTTCTTTTATTGGCTTTTAAGCTTGCTGTAGCCATGGAAAAACAACAACGTTGGATACCTACATGTACAGAGGTTGATTTTCTTCGATCCATATTTGATGGAGGAAATAAAAGTCCAAATAATGCAAAAATTCTACATATAGTCTCCACCTTATCCTTACACAATCCTGTTATTTCTGAAAAAAAATGTTGGTGATTGATTTAAGAATAGACGAGCTTGTGAAAGAAAGAGAAAGCAAACGTGCATTGATAATTCCCAACTCAAAAATCTGATGCATTAAGTGCAACCTTATTTTGCAGATCGACGTTTACGAACCTTCAGCTTAATATGTTGTATTTAGTAGTGTTTAAGCTTCTTTGGGTGCTTGTACTTGTTTTGATTAGATTTTGTCAAAACAAAAAAAAATGAGGTGTCCAGAGTTCAACATACTAATTTTTTTTTGCAGTTTGAACAAGCTAATTTTGTAGTTGTTTTTTTATATAATAATTATGTTTAGTTTTTAGTTTAATCTGTTATTGTTATTTGTTATTGTTATTATCGGAGAAATTTTTTTTAATTTCGCACTGTGCGGAGAGTACGGAGGAAGAGTGAACTCTCCACACAATTCGTAGAGATGAATTCATCTCTGCGAACTCTTCGGAGATATTTTTTTTTCTTTGGCGGTGTTTTTTATATAATATAGTTTTTCAAATGCTTTTTTTGTTATAATTTCCTGTTTTTTCAAATTTCTTACTAATCAACATTTTCAATCAAGGAATAAGGGAATGAGTGTGAGTGCAGAAAAAATTGTTAAAGTAAATACTTATGTTTTGCCATCTTCTAATTCTCCTGTTACAAAAAATTAGAAAAAAGCAGATGATTTTGTTGTAATGGAAAAGTTTTTAGTAAAAAAAGTTATTAATATAGTTTTTTGTTCCTCCGCAGAGATGTGTTTTTAGTTTGCTGTAGAAAATTTTTTCGAAGACTCTCCGCACTATACGGAGACTGCGCGGAAAGTGTGCGGAGGAAGAGTGATCTCTCCGCACACTTAGAAGAGATGAATTCATCTCTGCGAATTATTCGGAGAATTATTTTTTTTAGCGGTCTTTTTTTATATAATATAGTTTTCTTTATATATTTCGTCATAATTTCTTCTTTTTTTTTTTTTTTAAAATTCTCTTCCTTTCATGATGCTAATCAACATTTTGAATAAGGAGAATGAGTGTGAGTGTTGAATAAGGAAATACTTATGCTTTGTGCTACAAAAGTCTATAGCAGAGGATTTTGTCGTTATGATGGAAAGGTTTTTAGTATGATTTACTTCTACATCTTTATAAAAAAAGTTGTTAGTGTTTGCCTTTGTATAGTTTTAGTTTATCATCTTGTTGTGCTTTATTTGTTTATTGGCCAAAAACTCCTCCTTTCGCAGAGATCAATTATCTATTCAACCTTTTTGGAGTATTTTTTTTTAAATAACTCTTGTTTGGTCGTTTTTTATATATAATTATGTTTATATTTAGTTTATTTATATGGAATGCTTTTTTCCTTACAATTTTCTTTTTGTTTCGAATTTTTTTCTTGTAAGTGATGTTAATCAACGTTTTGAATTAGGAGGAGGAGAATCAGGCTACGTGAACGTGAGTGTTGAATATGCAGAAAAAATTTGTAAAGGAAGTATTCCTGATAAACCTTATGTTTTGCCATATTCTAAAATTTGCGGTTATTGTGGTGCTACAAAATTTTATAGAGAAAGCAAAGACTTTTGTTGTTGTGATGGAAATGTCAAATTATAGTTACATGATATACCTCCTGAAATGTATGATTTATTTACTTCCACATCTGAAGAAGCTGTAGCTTTTAGAAAGGTTATTCGTAGTTATAACAATCATTTTGCGTTTACTTCATTTGGTGTTAAGTATGACAAAGAATTGTGTAAGAATAATAAATGTATATATACTTTTAGAGTTCAAGGACAAGTATACCATTTCATAAAATCGCTTGTGCCAAAGAATGGGAATCCAACTTATTTACAGTTATACTTCTATGATATTGAGAATGAAATTTGTAATAGACTGAATACTTCTGATAAGTTTTGTGAGTTTACTTTAAGAAAGTTGATAGATGTTCTAAACAAAAATCCCCATTCAAAGTTTTTCCGATCATTAAGTGAAGTTAGTGATTTAGAATCATGTTATATTTTACTAAAGTCTAATCCTGCTATTGATCAAAGAGTATATAACTTGCCAACATCAGAACAAGTGACTATAGTTTGAGTTGACGATGACCCATCATCTACAAATACTAGAGGTCGGGATTTATTAATTTATGGGCATTCAGATAATGCATATAAAGTTCAATACTATTATGGTTGTTATGATTCTCTCCAATATTCGCTACTTTTTCCGTATGGAGAACCTGGATGGCATGAAGGTGAATGTAAGTGTTTCACAAGCTCGGGTTTGTCAGAATTTAATAAAAGTTAATTACCTCCATTCTGCGGATCAATTATTGGAAGTAGAAGACTATGGTAAACGATTTTAGTAATTTCTATTTTTAAAATATTTTATTTATGTAATTAGTTGCATTTAGGGAATGAAGTTTTTGTTGATATAATTTTTTTCCTTCTTGCAGTTTTGGAGGCAAAGAAAAAACGAATAACTATATCATGTCGAGAATATTATTGTTACAAGCTTCAAATTAGGTGTGTAAATAATTGTATTATTTTACATGCTGGCAGACTTTTACAGCAATATGTTGTGGATATGTACGTGAAATTGAAACAGCAAGATTAGACTACTTTCGTAATAATCAAAAGGTTATAAGAGTTGAACTATATCAGGGAATTGTGAATAATATACAAAATGGTGAGAATAGAGGTTATGAAATTGGTAAATCATTAGTGTTGCCTTCTGGTTTTATTGGAGGTCCTAGGAACATGACTAAAAGATATATGGATGCAATGTCTTTAGTTCAAAGATATGGCAAACCAGATGTGTTTTTGACAACAACATGTAATTCAAATTGTCCTGGAATAAAATGTGAATTGAAACACAGTGATGAAATACAGAATAGGCCAGATTTATTAGTAAGAATATTTCGTGCCAAGTTTGAGGAATTGAAGACAGATTTGGTTAAGAGAAAGTTGTTGGGTCCTATTGCTGCATATGTTTATGTTATTGAATTTCAGAAAAGAGGATTACCTCACGCTCATTTTCTCCTTATATTTAAACAAAATTCTAAGATCCGAAACTCTATAAAAGTCGATGAAATTGTCTCATCCGAAATACTAGACAAAAAAAATTACCCTTACCTACATGCTCCTATTGTAAAACATATGATGCATGGTCCTTATGGGAATTTGAATTCTAAGAATGTTTGAATGGAAAATAATTTTGTGTGTAAAAATAAATATCTGAGAGATTACGTTGAAAATACTTCTTTGGGTAATGATTCCTACCCACTTTACAAGCTTCGCAATGATGGTGTAAGTGTTAAAGTAAGAGGGTGTATGTTGGATAATAGATGGATTGTACCGTATAATCTTTACAGTTTAGCTAAATATGATTGTCACATTAATATGAAGGTGTGTTCTTCTGTTAAAGCTATTAAATATCTATACAAATACGTATACAAGGAACATGATCGCATTCATTTTACTTTAAATAAAGAAACAAATGAAGAATTTGTTGATGAGATTTCAAACTACCAAAGAGCTAGATGGATATCCCCACCTGAAGCTATGTGGAGGATATTTAGTTTTTGATTTATTTGATATATCTCCTACAGTAATATCTTTACAGTTACATATTAAAGATGCTCAAATGGTTATATACAAGGAGACAGATGATTTATCAAAGGTTATAAATAAAGATTTTGTTCACCGAACAATGTTAACAAAATTTTTTACAATGAATATTTCAAATGAAAAGGCAAAAACTCTACTGTATAAAGATTTTCCAACCTATTTTGTATGTGATACATTCATTGCAAATATAAACTCCTAGAAAAAGCAAAAATGTTATTGGTAGAATAGTCAGTGCTAATCCATGTGAATGTGAGATGTATTTTTTAAGAGTTTTGCTATTATATTAGAGGGCCAAAATCTTTTGAAGATTTAAAAACAGTCAATGGTATTGTTTTATCTACTTATTGTGAAGCAGTACTTTCTCATGGTCTTCTTAGTGGAGATAACTATTCTGAGATGTGTTTATCTGAGGCAGTTGCTTACCAAATGTCTGTATCACTGCGACGGCTATTTGCCAATGTATTGAGTTTATCTTGCCCTACAAATCCAAGAAATTTATGGGATAAATTTAAGAATTTTATGATAGAAGATTATTTACATAAAGGTTTCACACAACAAAGTGCTGAAATGAAAGCTTTACATTGTATAAATTTTTTCTTAGAAGGTGTTGGTAATAATATAATTGATTTTTGCTTGGTAGATTTTGATTTAACTAAGAATGATGATAATATCTTTGAAACCATGATTGCCGAAGAAACAACTAATATTAATTTTCAGTCAGACATACATTATAGTGAAAGTTTAAATAAAGAGCAACAAAATGCCTATAATATTATTTTGGATTTTATTTTAAATGATAAGAACGAAATGTTTTTTATTGATGGTCCGGGAGGCACTGGAAAAATATATTTGTACAAGGCATTACTTTTTGGTGTACGATCTCGAAATCTTATCGCACTAGCAACGACATCATCAAGTGTGGCTACATCTCTATTACCAGCTGGTAGAACACGACATTGAAGATTCAAAATTTCCCTTGAAGTAAGTTGTGATATGCGTTGTTCGGTGAGTAAACAGTCTACGCTTGGTAAACTTTTAGCATTGTCTAGGCTAATAATCTGGGATGAGACACCAATGGTTCATAAATATGCTTTTGAGGTTTTAGATAAAATGTTGAGAGACATTACTAAATGTCAATTACCATTTGGTGGAAAAGTCATTGTGTGTGGAAGAGATTTTTGACAAGTTTTACCAGTAGTACAAAGAGGAACAAAAAATGATATAATGAAGGCAAGTTTAGTTTTTTCGCATTTATGGCCTTCTTTTACACAGCTAGCATTAACCGAAAATATGATAGCTAAATTAGATTCTTCATTTTGTGAATATTTGCTGAAGATTGAGAATGGAATAGAGAGAACACATTCATGCCAAATGATTACATTCATGAAGATATTACCATCCATTTTGAAGATGAATTTAAATCATTAAAGGAATTAATTGACATTGTGTTTCCCAATTTCCAGACATATGGAAACAAACTACATATTTTGATGAATAGAATTGTTTTAACCCCAAAAAATGAATATGTAGATTTAATAAACAATATGTCGCTTGAAGAAATTCCGGGAGAGAAAGTTACATATTTTAGTTTTGATGAAGTGATTGATAAAAATGAAGGTTTTATTGATCAAGATTTTTTGAATAATCTAGCTCCAAACGGTATACCTCCACATGAACTCATATTGAAAAAAAATTGTCCAATTATGTTGCTGAGAAATATCAATCCTGCAGAAGGTTTATGCAATGGAACTAGACTTATTTGTCGTGACTTTAAGTAGAATGTTATCTTGGCTGAAATTGGGATAGAATAATATCGTAGAAAGCAAGTATTTTTACCTAGAATTCCATTTATTCCTCTTGAAGGCGATAAACAGTCTGTACCATTTAAAAGAACTCAATTTCCAATTCATTCATGTTTTGCAATGACCATTAACAAATCTCAAGGTCAAACTCTAGATTTTGTTGGCTTATATCTTCTAGAACCTGTATTTTTCCATGGTCAATTGTATGTTGCATTGTCCCGAGCTATAACAAGAGAAAATATAAAAATTCTTATCAAATCTTTTGTCAAAAACAAATCACATAATTGTTGTACCAAAAATGTTGTCTATCATGAAATCTTGAATTTAGTTCACGGTAAATATTAAATCTTCAGGTATATGCTTAATTGTTTGTTATAATTCTTTATTGATTATATTTATTTTTGCAAACACAAAATTAATAACAAATCTAAACTTATGACTTCTGATTGTCATGATGAAATATTGATTTTGTAAAATTTTATCTTTGCAAAAAGGATTTCTGAAGTTATTCTTTCCAGAAATATATTTTCTGAATATATGTATTGATTACACATAACTTTTTTCATTGTATTACTTTTTTTCTGTTTACTAATCGTCATTTGTTATTCATATTAAGCTGTGTAGCTGTCAGATATTGCGTGATGCTTAATACGAATACAATTGGTGAAGTTGATATTTAAAAGTTTAGATATGGATGACAAAACCGTTTGTGGAAACCACTTCTGTAAATTAAAATAACTTAATCATTTTACCATTCCATAATTATATTCCTATGGTAAGTGATATTATTACAAAACACATGCTAATTCTACTTGAAAACATCTTCTTGAAGGTGGATCCATGTATATATGTGTGTTGATGTATCCATATATAATATATAAGAGAATGTTATGTTTTAGTTAGAAAGACTGTAGTATTTTTTAATTGTAAAGAAAGGAAAAAATGTAATTTAAAATCTGTATGCAATTGTTT